TGTTTTGATTTGGAATAGAATGTGTAGTGTTCCCAATGCATTTGTGTGTATGGAAATAAAAGCTATTAGAAGGATTTTGAGCTTTATTCACTTTTTGCAACACACTGCTATTATTTTGAACACAACTGTATATACAGTGGGGCAAAAAAGTATTTAATCAGCCACCAATTGTGCAAGTTCTCCTGCTTAAAAAGATGAGAGAGGCCTGTAATTGGCATCATAGGTAGACCTCAACTATGAGAGACAAAATGAAAAATCTAGACAATCACATTGGCTGATTTGGAAAGAATTTATTTGCAAATTATGGTGGAAAATAAGTATTTGGTCACCTACAAACAAGCAGGATTTCTGGCTCTCACAGACCTGTACCTTCTTCTTTAAGAGGCTCTTCTGTCCTGCACTCATTACCTGTATCAATGGCACCTGTTTGAACTTGTTATCAGTATAAAGGACACCTGTCCACAACCTCAAACAGTCACACTCCAAACTCCACTATGGTGAAGACCAAAGAGCTGTCGAAGGACACCAGAACCAAAATTGTAGACCTGCACCAGGCTGGGAAGACTGAATCTACAATAGGCAAGCAGCTTGGTGTGAACAAATCAACTGTGGGAGCAATAATTAGAAAATGGAAGACATACAAGACCACTGATAATCTCCCTCGATCTGGGGCTCCACACAAGATCTCACCCTGTGGGGTCAAAATGATCACAAGAACGGTGAGCAAAAATCCCAGGACCACACGGGGGGGACCTAGTGAATGACCTGCAGAGAGCTGGGACCAACGTAACAAAGGCTACCATCAGTAACACACTATGCCGCCAGGGACTAGGCATTGAAGATGAAACGTGGCTGGGTCTTCCAACAACATGACAATGATCCCAAACATACCGCCAAGGGCAACGAAGGAGTGGCTTCGTAAGAAGCATTTCAAGGTCCTGGAGTGGCCTAGCCAGTCTCCAGATCTCAACCCCATAGAAAACCTTTGGAGGGAGTTGAAAGTCCGTGTTGCCCAGCGACAGCCCCAAAACATCACTGCTCTAGAGGAGATCTGCATGGAGGAATGGGCCAACATACGAGCAACAGTGTGTGCCAACCTTGTGAAGACTTAAAGGAAACGTTTGACCTCTGTCATTGCCAACAAAGGATATATAACAAAGTACTGAGATGAACTTTTGATATTGACCAAATACTTATACTTTTTTCCACCATAATTTGCAAATAAATTCTTTCCAAATCAGCCAATGTGATTGCCTGGATTTTGTTTCTCATTTTGTCTCTCATAGTTGAGGTCTACCTATGATGCCAATTACAGGCCTCTCTCATCTTTTTAAGCAGGAGAACTTGCACAATTGGTGGCTGACTAAATACTTTTTTGCCCCACTGTATTATATAGAAAATGTATGTGAATCCCTTGGAATTAACTGGTTTTCAGCAATGATTTGCCATAAATGTGATTTGATCATCTAAGTCACAGCAATAGACAAACACAATGTGCTTACGCTGATAACACACAAACAAATTCTAAATTCTTCTGTCTTTATTGAACACACCCACTTAACATTCACAGTGCTACAGGAAAAAGTAAGCAAAACCCATACACTAATTACTTCAATGAAAGCTAATTGGAGTCAGTAGTCCAATTAATGAAATAAGTTTGGAGGTATAGTTTAGAGCTACTTTGAATGATAAAAGACACTCAAATATTTTAAGACTGCTGTTCATATGAAGCACCTGCTGATGTGAACCATGCCTTACAAAAAGGAAGACATTTTAGTTCTCTAAAGACATACGACCAAGAGTAGTTGCTCTGCTTAAGCAGGAAAGGGATACAAAGCAATCTCAAAGTGTTTAGGCATCCATCATGGAGACAAATTAGTACTTTGGCTACTCTTTCTAGAATTGGCTGCACAGCCATGATGACTCCCAAGGCACAATGCATGAGGTAAAGAAGAACCCACAAGTAACAGCTAAAGGCTTGAAGGCATCACTGGAATTGACAAACATCCCTGTTCATGAGTCTACCATATGTAAGTCTTTGAACAGGCATGGCGTCCATGGCAAAACACTATAGAGGAAGCCGCTGTTCTCCAAAAAAACACTGCTGCGTGCTTAAAGTTTACCAAAAGCTGCCTTGGCTAAACTCATTCTTACTGGAAAAATGTTTTGTGGACCAATGAAACAAAAGTTCAATTCTTCGGGATGAATACTCAGCACTGTGTATGGCACAAAAAAGGGTACAGCTTACCAACATCAAAACATCATCCCAACAGTGAAGTATGTTGAAGGGAACATCATAATTTGGCTTTGCTTCACTGCCTCATTGCCTGGACCACTTGGCATCATTCAGGGGAAAATTAATTTCAAGTTTACCAAAGTATCCTACAGGATAATGTCTGTGTGGCTGTCTGCCAGCTAAAGTTCCTAAGCAATGAAGTAAATCCACCACAGTCTGGCTTCAGGAAAATACACTGCACCTTTTGGAGTGGCCCAACCAGAATCCTGACCTTAATCCCATGCTATAGTATGACCTCAAGAGAGACATTCACACCAGACATCCTACAAATGTGTCTGAATTTAAACAGTTTTGTAAAGAGGAATGGTCAAGAATTCCTCCTGAACATTGTACAGGTCTGATTCAGAGCTACTTAAAATATTATTATTATACAGGATTTATATAGCGCCAACAGTTTGCTCAGCGCTTTACAATATAATTGGAGACAATACAGCAACAATACAGTTCAATACAAGAGGGATAGGAGGGCCTGATCCTTGGAGCTTACAATCTAGGAGATATACTGTAAAGTGGATGTGTTTGTGGGTAGATTCCAACAAATTTCAAGACTCAGCATGCATACATGATGGCTGCTAAGCATATCCTAAACAGTTCATTCTGCTGCTTGGCTCAGTATGCACATTTGCGGTATTATGTTCCTTTCACTTTACACTATATTATATTGTGGAAAAAGGTCTATAGTGCTAGGCCGCTTTGTTTTCCTGCCCTGGGAGGCTAGATCAAAGCTGGTAGAAGAGGGCCTGAAGCTATGCAGGATGTGATCATTTTCTGCCTCTAGTACCTGTGTTTATGAGGCCTTAGTGTGCTTGGGTGTCCAAAGCAATTATTTTTTCAGGTTTGTTCCTGCACTCTAGAACATAGCGCAGTCTGCACACGCCGGGCTCCCTGCCTACAAGCAGCATTACTGAAAGATTTTGGAGGCTGGTGGTCTCATAAAACCAATTTGTTGGCCTCCAAGGCTGGCAGGAAGGTTAATGGCAGGAAAGGGTAGAATGCATGTACACTGACTAAGGGTTTAGCACTTCTCTGTCAAGCTGGCCAATGGAAAGGGCTGTGTGCAGACAATGCTACCTAAAGAATACGTGGATTATAGTGCACATTAGTACAGCTTCTATCTCTTTTGTACAAACCATCATCTATCTAGTATTAAAGCAAAATAGTTGACCAGATTGCACAGTTGGAGTGTGCATATCTTCAGGTGTACAACCCCAATTCCAAAACAGTTGAGATGCTGTGAAAAAAACTGAATGCATCGATTGCAAATCTCATAAACCCATATTTCATTCACAACAGAAAATAGGAAACATATCCAATTGTCAGGAATGGACTTGCCAGTAATGGTGGGGACTCACCTGCCTTGTGGGCTGCAGTACCAGGGCTGGCCAGCAGGTGCTCTCAGCAATCAGAGACTCAACCCTGCAGTCAGCCAAAACACCTGAGGCTGATTGCAGGTGTATTTAAGGGATGGCCAGACCTGCAGTCTGGGCCTTGGTGTGTGTTTTTCCATGGGCCCCTGTATCTTGTTACCTGCATTCCTGTTCCTGCCTGACTGACTTGTTGCCGGCCCTGCTTGATCCTGACCTCTGCTGACTTCTCCTGTTTGATCCCTGGCTTGTGACCCGACCATTCTCTGCCTGACCCCCTGTACCTACCTGCCCGTTATTTGCTGTACCCGGCTCGTGACCTGACTACTCTCTGCCTGCTCCTCCTGTTCCTACCTGCCCGATTGTTATTGACCCAGCCTGCCTGACTACGCTTGCATTGTATGTATTGTTATCTGTGGGTGGTTTGGTTCGTTTGCACTTTGTTTATGTTTTAGTATTGCACTGCGTTTTGTATTGTTAGTATTAATAAATTATATTGTTTATAACATATCTGAAGCCTGCGTTTCCCTGCGTCAGTTCACATACCTCTGGTCATACTCGGAGCCCTGACATTACACCAAGGCCCATCCTGACCAGAAGTGGCTGCACAGGGAAGCCATCTTGGCTTGTTGCTGGGAAGGATGGATCTTGATGAGGTTGTGTATTTGTCGCTGCTGGTTTTTGATGACAGAGAATATGCTTATCAGACTCTGAGGGAGTATACCCGGGATCAACTGCTAGAATGTATACGGATCGCTCATGTTCTAGTAGATCAGGGCACAGAGTTCTCTGAGGTGCAACCTTTTGATTGAGGTTTGTGTAGAGTTGGCTTCATCTGGTACCCCTGAAAAAGCAGGAATGACTTTTTGCCACCATTTAGTGCAGACCAGGTACAGTCCCTGGTATGGTTATTAGAGGATGATGTGGATTGCTTCTTGGAGCATTATCTGCATGTTCACCACAGGTATTAAGGGATTGTATAAACGCAGTGCAGTCTTTGACCAGACAGGCTTTGTGTAAGCTCAGCTTTGTTCAACCCATACTGCAGACTATGGTCAGACTTGTTGCAACCCAGCCTCAGTCAGCTTGCAACGTCATTCCTCTGCTCAGGCACTCTTGCTGCGTCCCCGACAGCACCCCCAGTGACGGCTCAGTATACTCTGCTAACTACCACATACCATTCCCCTGCTCCCACCATCGCTGCACCTATCATTTCTTTGGCCCTGTGGAGAGGTCCTCTGTGGCGGCTGCTCCCTCCTACTGTTCCATCTTCCAGCTCTTCTCTGTCCTCTCAGCTGGACTCCATTCGTTTGCAGAGACCTGCGTTTACTTGCAGTGCTCCAGTAGTTAAAAACCAGAAAAAAGCGAAAATTCTTTCCAACCAGTACCATCCTGCCAGTATCCAAACCGGTGAGCCTATGCCGTCTGAGAACCTGCCTTCCGTGGTTCAGCCTGGTGCCTCGGCACCCGCACTTCAGCCTGATGTCTCTACCCAGCCTGATGTCTGTACCCAGCCTAATGAACTGATCCAGCCTGATGATCCTATCACGCCTGATGACCCAGTGCCCGCTGTCATGCCTGGTGACCCGATGCCCACTGTCGAGCCAGACGATCCAATGTCTGACCCAGTGCCCGCCCGCGATCATGCCAGTTGACTCGGAGCCCACTGTCGTGCCTGGTGACTCGGTGCCCACTGCCTTGCCAGATGACGCGGTTCCCGCTGGTTAGCCAAATGACCTGATGCCTGGTGACCCAGTGCCCGCTGTCATACCTGGTGACCCGATGCCCGCTGTCGAGCCAGACAATCCAATGCCTGATGACCCAGTGCCCGCTGTCATGCCTGGTGACCCGATGCCCGCTGTCGAGCAAGACAATCCAATGCCTGATGACCCAGTGCCCGCTGTCATGCCTGGTGACCCGATGTCCGCTGTCGAGCCAGACGATCCAGCGCCAGATGACCCGGTGCCTGCTGTCGAGCCAGACGATCCAGTACCTGATGACCCAGTGCCCGCTGTCGTGCCAATTGACTCAGAGCCCACTGTCGTGCCTGGTGACTCGGTGCCCACTGCCTTGCCAGATGATGCGGTGACCGCTGTCGAGCCAAATGACCTGATGCCTGGTGACCAGATGCCCGCTGTCGAGCCAGACGATCCAATGTCTGACCCATGCCCGCGGTCATGCCAGTTTGACTCAGAACCCACTGTCCCTGTGCCTGGTGACTCGGTGCCCACTGCCTTGCCAGATGACGCGGTGCCCGCTGGCGAGCCAAATGACCTGATGCCTGGTGACCCGATGCCCGCTGTCGTGCCTGATGACCCGGTGCCCGCCGCTCCGCCTGGGGGCCCGGTTGCCCTGCCGCTCCTCCTGGGGCCTGTTGTCCGGGCGCCCGCCGCTCCGCCTGGGGGCCCCGCTCCGCCCGGGGGGGCCCGGCGCCCGCCGCTCCGCCTGGGGGCCCCAGGCGCCCGTCGCTCTGCCCGGGGGCCCGGTGCCTGCTGCCCCTCCTGGGGGCCCGGTGCCCCGCCGCTTCTCCTGAGGGCCGGCACCCGCCGCCCCGCCTGGGGGCCCTGCGCCCACCGCCGCCCCGCCCTGGGGGGCCCGGCGCCCGCCGCTCCGCCTGGGGGCCCGGCGCGCCCGCCGCTCCGCCTGGGGGCCCGGGCGCCCGCCCGCTCCGCCTGGTGATCCGGTGCCTGTGCCTGCTCCGCCTGGTTGATCTGGTGTCCAGCCCGATGTGCCTCTGCCCGGAGTCCAGCCCGATGTGCCAGTCTTTGATATCCCGCCAGTTACCAGACCCGGGCGGTGGAACATTTTGCCCAGCTAGGACTGTTTGGAGCGTCCTGAGGCCGCTCCTTGAGGGGGGGGTACTGTCAGGAATGGACTTGCCAGTAATGGTGGGACTCACCTGCCTTGTGGGCTGCAGTACCAGGGCTGGCCAGCGGGTGCTTCTCAGCAATCAGAGACTCAACCCTGCAGTCAGCCAAACACCTGAGGCTGATTGCAGGTGTATTTAAGGGATGGCCAGACCTGCAGTCCTGGGCCTTGGTGTGTGTTTTTCCATGGACCCCTGTATCTTGTTACCTGCATTCCTGTTCCTGTTCCTGCCTGACTGACTTGTTGCCGACCCTGCTTGATCCTGACCTCTGCTGACTTCTCCTGTTTGATCCCTGGCTTGTGACCCCGACCATTCTCTGCCTGACCCCGTGTACCTACCTGCCCGTTAGTTGCTGTACCCGGCTCGTGACCTGAACTACTCTCTGCCCTGCTCCTCCCTGTTCCTACCTGCCCGATTGTTATTGACCTGGCCTGCCTGACTACGCTTGCATTGTATGTATTGTTATCTGGTGGGTGGAGTTTGGTTCGTTTGCACTTTGTTTATGTTTTAGTATTGCACTGCGTTTTGTATTATTAGTATTAATAAATTATATTGTTTATAACATATCTGAAGCCTACATTTCCCTGCGTCAGTTCACATACCTCTGGTCATACCCGGAGCCCCTGACACCACCCAATAATTAAAGTGGAGCTCCACCCAAAAGGGGACGTTCCGCTTTAACAACTCGTCTCTTGCTCCCTGTTAAAAGATTGGCACCGTCTGGGAGCCGGTACCCGATCGCTTTTGACAGGTACCCATTGTCCCACTCCACTCCAACCCCGTAGGAGAAGTTAATGTCCTCTGGGTCCTGCCACGTGTCCCAGAAGACTGCAGGAGCAGTCACAATGCGCAAGGCTGCTTGTGCATGCGTAGTGGGCACCTGGCAATGAAGCCATAAGCTGTCACAGCTGGATGCCATTGCTTAACATGCCGGCGCTGGGGACAGAGGATAGTCAGTGAACCTTGGTGGGGGTGAGCACACTGCTGGATCGAGGGACAGGTGAGTGGCTGTTTTTTAAAAGTCAGTAGGTACAGTTTTTGTAGCTGCTGACTATTTTTTTTCACAGGAGTCTGAGCTCCACTTCAACCATTTGACTTCTGGAAGGTTTTACTCCTTTCATGATCAGGGCAATTTTTTTTTGCTCTTCAGCACTGTGCTATTTTAACTGACAATTACTCGGGGGGGGGGAGGAGGCCAGGCAAACACTGAAAAAAAATTATCTAAATTTAATTTGCGTACACACAAATAGAGCTTTCTTTTGGTGGTATTTGATCATCACTGGGTTTTTTATTTTTTTATTATATAAATTAAAAAAGACCGAAAATTAAAAAAAAAATATTTTCTACTATTTGTTATAAAAACATATCCAATAAAAAAAATCGAAACATTACATTTCTTCATAAATTTAGCTCAAAATGTATTTTGCTACATGTCTTAGGTAAAAAAAAAAATCCCCAAAAGTGTATAGTAATTGGTTTGTGTGAAATTGTGAAAGCGTCTACAAACTATGGTGTATAGATACTGGAATTTATACAGCTATAGATGTTTTATTTGTATTGGCTGTGATCAGCAACTATATAGTGTGACTGTGATAGTGTGGTGGCCAATCTGACAGACACATCTAACAGATACTGCTTGGAGAGACACTAAACTGCCACTGATGCAATGATCATATAAATACTACGTACACTGTATTAATGACACTGGCTGGTAAGGGGTTAACATCAAAGGCTTAATTGTGTGTGGTCGTGTAACAAGGGTAATGTGTGTAATATGTGCTGCTTTTACTAGCAAATCTGGCTTGTTATTTCCCCCCTGCTTTTCAGGGAGAAGAAACAGCCTGATTGTTGTTCTGTGTACATGGAGTTCTGTGTGTTTGTAAACACAAAAACTCTGTGCTGTGATTGGACACAGCCGATCAGGAGTTTTCAGCTGAAACCTGCTGACAAACTCGTGCTGTGTCTGGTCACAACATGGGTCAGTAGGTGGCGCGCACATGCGCACCTTAAAGCAACGGGCCTGCCTCTCTCAAAGTAAATGTGCTGTAAGCGGGCAGCAAACAGTTAAACTGAGAAGATATACCATGTTAAAAGTTAATTTTGACGTGCATGGCAGCATAATGTCTCCAAAAAGTTGGAACAGGACCATGTTTACCATGATGCAGCATCCCCTCTTCTTTTAGAACACACTGTAAATGTCGGGGAACTGAGGAGACCAGTTGCTGACAATTTTGGGAGAGTATGTTGTCTCATTCTTGCCTGATATAGAATTCTAAACTGCTCCACAGTCCTGGGTCTTCTTGCGCGTATTTTTTTTTCAAGATTTTTGCACCAATATATTTTCCATTGGTGAAAGGTCTGGACTGCAGGCAGGCCAATTAATCACCCAAACTCTTCTACTATGAAGCCATGCTGTCTAGTCATAGATGCAGTATGCGGTTTAGACTCATTAATTTGTAAGTGGTGAAGAGATGGCTGCCGTGTGTATGGCTAGTCAATAGAAGAGCTTAGTGTAGCTGTGTAACTTAACATTACTGGAAAAAATGTTATTTGCAGGTTTCTTGAACGAAAGGTATCATATGGGGCTATTAGCTCAGGGGTGCCCATGCTGACCTCGAGTTCAAGAACCAAAAATGCCTTACAATGAGTGAATGAAGAGGTGGACTGGTTCTCATGAATTCACAAAATGGTTTTGAGGATCACACAAATGACTTTGAGGTTTTTTCACTTGGCCCATTTTCCAGATCTCAGTTTAATTGTTTCATCTGTGGTATGGGGTTGTTTTATGGTTTAAAAAAAAGGGAGGATCCATGGAAAGCCCCACCTCAAAACTTACAGGATTTTAAAAAGGGATTTGGGGGGGGGAACTTTTTTTTTTTTTTTTTGGCCAAAAACCCCACAGAAATTCCTTCGGGATGTTAGGGAAGTCCATCCCTTTGACAGGTATGGTGGGTGGCCCAAAATTTTTATGGCTCATGGGTTTTGTATACAGATAAAAAAGAGTTCAAAAGTAAAAATTTATGAGTTTTTTCTTTTAAAGGGAAAGAGCCAGGGGATATACGGTATGAATTTTGAAAATGCTGAAAAATTTTGGGGGGTTTTACAGTTTTTTGGGATTTTGGTTTTTTTTTTTAAAGATAATATTAAAAAAATCGGGGATTAAAAATTGTTTTTGGAAAATTGGAACTTATGGAAAACCCAAAAAGTCTCATTATATTTTGGGGTTAGTAAAACACTAGGAGGGGGAAACCCCTAAAAGTCTCATTATATTTTGGGGTTGTAAACACTGGGGTGGGATGTTGGTACCTTGACTTTTTTTGGGCATTTGGGGGGCCCAATCATACAGGGAAAACTACCTTTCTGGCTCATCGGGAATTTTAAAAGGAGGGACTGATCTAGAGACTGAAAAGGGGTTTAACCCAAAAGGTTTAGTAAACCCCTTGTTTTCCGGTCATTTTTTTTTTCTCCCCCACTGATGGGGGAAAATTTACACCAAACTTATTTTAGTGGGGCCTAACTTCGGGGGGGGAAATTTTTTTCTTCCCCCTAACCAATTTTATGCCAGCAGGGTTGCCCACCTTCAGCTTCAGTATTTTTCCAAATGGGCAAAAAAAAACAACCCCGAGTTCAATGTTGGAAGGGCTCATTCCAAAAAAGCATTTTTTTTTTTTTTTGGGGGGGGGGGGGTTCCCGCGGTTTGGGTTTGGGGGGCATTTTAACACTCCCCAACTGGGTACCCCCCTTTTTAGGGAACCAAATGAGTACACGTTTCCCAAAGCCCCAAAGCTTTGTTTTTTCCGCAGGAATTATTTTTTCCCCCCCGTCACATTCTCTCTTCAAAAAGTTTCCCCCTTAGATGAAATTTTGGCCGGCCCCTGCAAGCACTCCCACAAACCCTGTGCAAAGTACACGGTTTCCCCCCTTGCACAAATTTTGGTTTTGGGAATGAACCCTTGGGTTTCAAATGCCGGTTTGGGGGCAAAAGTTTTTTAACACAAAGTAGTGTGGAAACCCAAACCCTAAAGTTTTT